GTTCAGAATTCATCAGAGACAGACGTATGGGACTTGGCACTTAGAATTCACCAGAGGCAGACGTCATTTACCTGCTCTCTCCAAGTTTATCTAAATTTAACAGTATTTATTTGGCTCGATTAATCTTTGGCACATTACTCCCTACTTGCCAATAAAGATATAGTGTTTGCTTCTGAATTAAACAATATTGTGATTAAGCAGAAATAGAGTATTTTATTTGTATCAGTGGACTAGTTTTAAATGTGCAGTCTCCTTGTCGCCCCAGTTATTACCGTGGCACAACCCTGAGAAGAGTCAAAGTGTTCTACCGAAGCGGGCAAACAAATAAATAAACATAAAGATAGATAGGCAACGGTCACGAGAAGTGGTGAACAGCGGTTGTGAGAAGTGACGGTCGTGTGCGGTTATAGAAGTAACCTCTGTATAGTTAAAGTTCAATAGTATTAATCCTTATCTTTAATTTTTTAATTAAATGTAATAATTACATAGCAGTTCATATCTAATAGTCTATAGACCTTACCTCATTGTAAAATGCTGCCTCATTTTGAAAGAATTCAGTAGATCGGAATGTCTTTCTACACCCACTGCTTGCTGGGAGACTCTTTACAATTAGAGCCAGCGAATATGGTTTGTTGTTTGCCATTCCATCTACCCTCAGTCGACTTAATGTGCTAAGGTAACTATCACCAGCACGGGTGGAACCTCTTGCCACTTCATAGTGAACCAGCTGCACATTTTCAGTCCCAGAGGCCTTTTTCAAAATAGATATTAGTGTCTTCTCTGTAAAACTGGTTGAGATCTCCATCACTGTATTTCTACTTTGAATGTCACCAGCCATGTTTTACAGTAGTTACACAGAGTTCTGCAAGGCAATTTTACAGTAATTCTCTTAGTCACACAGGTGATAAGTAATATCTATGCAGCTTAATCTGTTATGGATAATGAGATTACAATTCAGGAGCATATGGCCCCTATAATATTCTATAGATGGAAAAAATAAATGTCAGTGCAATGAGTTGCAATCTGTATTCCCAACAGAGAGGACAAAATTCATTGCAAAATGAGGCCTGGCCAAACAATTATCAAATAATACCACACCAATACCATGGGCCTCCAAGCAGTTAACTATATGTGTACAAGTCATGAATATACCATTATGTCCATGGGAATATAACAACAAGATTGCAGCAATTGACTTCATAATATGAAACACCACATGAAGGGTTTTTAACTATATTTTATTGCATAACTTTTGTTTTATAATAATTTTATTTTTTTATACTGTATATGATTATAGTGTAACATAGTTGTCAAGTATCCAGCTCTACTGTCACATTGCAATGCAGTTCAATAGTGTGTGAGTATGGTAGCCATGTCATTTACTTTAAAAGCCAAAACATGTAGCTAAGGTGATGCTGACCTAGACCGTTATGTTGTTGTGTTACGATGGATTCAAATAAAGAACTATATATAATAAACACAACAGGATGCATGCAATGAAAATTATAAATGTCAATTGTTAACATTCATAACCAAAACATGTGCAAGTCTGAAAATTTGTATCACCACACTCATTCAGGGTACTGCTAATAACAATGCCAGATCTTAACGGAACGTGTTCCTAGAAATGGTATACAGCATATTGTTATGAATCAAGCATTTCCTGTGTCCCACTGAGGTGATTTAAACCAAAGCTGAAGTAACTGGTTCAATGATCCTTTTCTGCATAATCACAACTTCTTTACTTAAATATTTAAATACAAATATATCTATTTTTATTATTTAATGTTTTCACCCCCACAGTCATGCCTACGCTTACTGCTACACTCAGTGCAATTACCATTATGCTGATTTACAAGTATAACAATGCAAGTTTGAGGCATGTTGCAATATGTCAAAAATGTTAACTTTGTGCTTGGTATTCTATAACAAAATTAAACTGTCTTGAAAAGATAATATTTTCCAAAGTTTGCATTTTATAATCTGAAATGAATACATTATGATTTTTGTAGATTTTTATGATTAATTTCACCAGTTAATTCTGTTAACAATTCTTATCATTACCAAAATCATTATCAAAAAATTACCACAGAACACCATTATGTATTATGTCATGTTCTCTCATTTAAAACAGTATTAGGAATTTATAAAAAATCTTACACAACTTCATTTTTTGGATAAAATTTAATTAAATCTTATACAGATTTTCAGTGTGAGGACAAACAGTGAGACCATACATGCACAGATCTTCAAGTGAAGGAAGAAGGTGCAAAATATTCCTTTATATAGCTACACAAAGAACTCTATAAGAGACATTTGAAAAGCTTCTTGTATGGTGGGAATGGTAATGTTCTATGTCACTGGACTCCCTTAGGTGCAGCATTATAACTGGTTAATTATCTATCATGTGTACTAGATGCTGGACTATGGACTGAGAAAAAAGTATAAAGCTAGTTTTAAAGTGTGTGGATGTGGGGAAAATGATAAACTTCCATGGTTTTTTGGGAAACATGCAATGCAAGTGTTATAACGTGTTGAAACTAAGCTGTATGTAATTTTCATGGAGTGTAAATACAACTGATGCGGGCAAGGAAGGTAGAGCATACACCTGCTGCTATGGTGTGCCAATAGCTCTTTGAATTTGCACAATTAGTTATACAAATTCATAAAGAAACGTGACAACTTGGGTCAGTAATGCAAACTTTGTTTCTTCTGAACAGTTAATCCACATCCAAATGTACTAGTTAATTCTGACATCAATACTTGAACTTTGCCAGATTTTCTGTAGTACTGTATTCTGCCATGTCTTCTTTAGGACCACCCAACTTGATGTCATATTTTGTAGGACCCAAACAAATGATTTTTATTCAATTCAGAAAATATTTTGGGCCATACACATTACCATCAGGGGATTTCGAGGAATACACAACTGCTGACAGCTTACATAAACTACAATACTAGTGTGAAATCTGTTGGTTAACCTTGGGTGTGGTGAATCTGACTTAATTCTATAAAGGAAAAGGTAAAGTTGTGCCTGTACTTCACTAATTAAGCACTACAATGTGAAGGCATATGGAGAGTGGATGTATAGATCCATATTTTCTTGACTTTGGCACTAGTTGTGGAGGTGAATGATCAGCTCACACCCCAGCCGCTGTACCCCCGGGGATAGATCCCCCAGTACCCATTGGATAGGAGGTTGGGTGGACCCCAGAGCTACTCTGGATNCGTTTTCTTGACTTTGGCACTAGTTGGAGGTGAATGATCAGCTCACACCTCGGCTGCTTTACCCCCGGGGAAAGATCCCCCAGTACCCATTGGATAGGAGGTTGGGTGGACCCCAGAGCTACTCTGGATGACATAGAGCAGAGAAAATCCTTCACCCTCCCAGGACTCAAACTCTGACCCTTCGGTCATCCAGACTGTAGCCAATTAAGCACATGGACAACTTTACCTTACCTTTACTTGTTACAGAACCCGGTCCATCACAGACAATAGCAGATCACTAAAGTGACTATCGAAACTAAAACCCCATGAAAATTATCCGAACCGATAACCATCAGACATACTCCAAAGCGTTCAAGGACGTGTTCAAAAGAATTCCTCCTGCGGTGCTTCAGTTTAATTTTGAATGTTTTTAAATTGTAATACATAATGATTAATTTCAAACTGATAACCATCAGACATACTCCAAAGCATTCAAGAACGTGTTCAAAAGAATTCCTCCTGTGGTGCTTCAGCTTAATTTTGAACATTATAACTGTAATACAAAATGTTTAATTTCAAACCAAACAAACCAATAACCATTGGACATGCTCCAAAACATTCAAGAACGCGTTCAAAAGAATTCCTTCGCCTTAATTTTGAATGTTGTTATAACTGTAATACAAAATGTTTAATTTCAAACCGATAGCCATAGGACATACTCTAAAGCATTCAACGTGTTCAAAAGAAATCCTATTGCTGTGCTTCGGTTTAATTTTGAATGTTGTTAAAATTGTAAAACAAAATGTTTAATTTTAAGTTAAAGTTTAATGTAAAAGTAAAAAAAGAAAGTCCCTCTGCTGAACTAATTAAGCGCTACGCCATGAAGACATATTGGGGTCTCGGTGCATAGTGCAACATTTTCTTGACCTCCGCACTAGTTGGAAATGAATGGTCGTCTTCACGCCCTAGCCTCTGGGACTCCTTGGACAGGAGGCTGGGTGGGAACCACTTCTGATCTGGATGACAGGGAGCAGTGGAAATGCTTGATCCTACCGGGACTCGAACTCCGACCACTCGGACGTCCAGCCCGTAGCCAGTCGCTATACCGACAAGGAACCTAAACTACCAAGGTTAACTAAATTCCATACCGTTCCATACTATCAATGTATTTTATGTAATCCGTCACCAGTTTTGTATTTCTGAAGATCAAGATCACCTGACGATGGCCTGTGCAGGCCGAAACATACTGTGAAACGAACGCTACAAAACGTCTATCTGCTGTCATATACTGCCACACTTCGCAAAAAATACAAGTTTTATTTACAAACCACAAACATAACGTAAATTATATGGGGTTAAACTAAACTAACCTCTTCCTGACGTTCCTGACTAACAATTGTTCGAGAAACTCAGACACACCCACAAATGATGAGACGGAAAATATTTATGCAGATACAAACTTTTCTTATTGTACGACTATAGGCATCTGTTGGTAAGTGTTAGAACTACATCAAAAGGCCAACCCTAGTGATCCCTAGATCCCTACAGATCCCTACAAAACTTACGTGCAACGGTTTTGATCATGACCGTTCGTGTACTGAAGTAGGCTCGTTTTAACTTACCAAATCTAACATTAATTAGAAAGAATCACATACCACCACCAACTGTCCACTGCAATTACATAGTATTAGCGATACATTTACTTGTATACATGGTTGTAATTGTTCTGTAGATAATCGATGACAGATGGCAGGAGCAAAATCACGCAACAAATAAACAACTTCGATACATCGTGATTCGTGTTCAATGCCTACCAATAGGACTGCTGATCCATGCATACAATATCTGCACTCCGTGTACGTACCTGTGTAATTGGCGAGATTTTTCAGTGGGTATCGAGACTGTAATATCGGATGGTAGGGTGACGTCTGATGAGCTAGAAAGGATTTGGAAGGAAACAGTCATGATCTAATTGAAATACTGTCCCGGTATTTGTCTGGAGAGACTAAATAAAATCATGGAATAGATTGGTGAGGATAGCCAGTGTCCCGCGCGATATTCGAAATACACGTAACCTACAAGGTGATGAGTTGGCAACACAAAAGTCGTTACCAACAGTTGAAATCAATTATTCAAGAACTATTTAAATTTGACTGTTGCTCCAAATGCCTTTCTAAGGACTTCTCTACTTTCAAACGTTTAGAAGTATAGTTGACTTAACAAAATATTCTATCTGTAATTAATACTAACAAAAAGTATATACAAATAGCCATGTGTTGGACACGTGCTGCTCTCTAGTCGAAGTTTGCATGTTGTTGTGTGAGTGACGTTTCTATACTTTGTATGAAATGGTAAGTATTTTGTCGTATTTTTGTTCCAAATGCGTAACGTTTCCGAAAGGGAAAAGACCCATACGATAGAAGTAGGCCGTATGATGGGCTCATGAACTGACTAGAATATGGAGTATCGTGTAATCCTATAGTAACGTCAGATTGTGAACCTGACCTCTCCCACTCTCCATTCCAGAATTATCAATATGGAAATTTAAATTCTTCATAACGTTGTATAGAATTAGAGTATACATTTCTGTGCGCCTGATTTTCACACGCCCTTTCCTGATATAATGATATATCCTGATATAATGATTTCAAATATTAACACTGTTGTCTAGCTGATACATCACTACCAAAACTTCAGACAGATTTTAACATGGCCATTGGTTAAGATTCAGTAGAACGTATTTTGTCACACATACTACGAACAAATTTATGATTTGGGTGTTCTGTTTTTTTTTAAAAAAGTGTTTTAATTTGAAAATACCGTTTACCTTCATTCAAAGGCATTTCATGCAGTTGTTAAACATACATTATTCTACATTCATGTTGAATGTATCTTTTGAGACTTCAGATTCCCTACATATTCACGATATATTAAAGTTCTTCATTATCGCTAATTTGGAAGAATAATATTGTATACATGCATAATCAGTCAACCATCAGTTAATCTGAAAACAAAATTCACTTAACCCAGCAAAACGAACTGAATTTCCAGAAATAATATGCATTAAATGTTTATTTAATTCGTTGACCACAATATAATTCAAATCGCTTTGTGTAGGCTATTTGCATGCATTTACTTGGCAGGATTTTTAGTAATAATGTTTTCTTATACCACATTTCAAGTTACATTGGATAATGAACATGGTGGCAACGTAAAGAATTGGTTTGCATCTTACATGTATGTGACACAGGCAACTGTTAGAGAAGAATTGTGAAGTTAACCAAAATTTGTAATTTGGCAGAACACATTAACAAAAAAACTTAATTTTCCCTTATTGTGTTTTGTGAAACAAATTGTAAACTAATTTCATGTGGTGACTTTGAAGAAGATACAGTAGTGAACTTTATTGTTATGTTTTATGTGACCTAACATTCTGTGATCAGAAGTTGATTAATATTAAAGTAGTGATCTCAAAATGTACATTTTTATATTTCTAAGTGAATGTGTTTCACAGATGATGAGCCTTTTTTTTTATCCAAAGCCACATGGTAATCCATCATTTTCCTTCTAGCTGTTTTAATTGAAGTCCTTGTTATACCTTCCCAAAATTATGAATCTTTTTACAGATTAAAACTGTTATAGCGTATAAGTCAGATATGTGATTTTTGTGGTACAGTATCTCCCCCTCCACTTTGGGAATGTCTGTGCATCATATTTCACTGAACTAGTTTTTCATTTTCTTATATTTTCTGAAATAGTCCTTCCATATCGTCTTCCTGTTTCGCTCCAAATCACATGAACAGCATCAGGCAAGTTGGCTAGATGGACAATGCTTCTGTCTTGCATTTGGGAGTTGCCAAGTTTGAATATCACTTGGGATGCTGACTATCCTGAGTAAGATTTTTTGGTCTGATTTTCTCAGCCTTCATGAAAATTCCATGATAGAGCTTTCAGAATCAGGCCATGACTTCTCCCTTTCACCTGTATGAGTCATTGTTTACTATTATCCAGCCACTTGGCACTGTACAGGTTGCTTTGCAGATAGTCTGCCATACCTTAGGAGGTGATCAGAATGTATTGTCAATTTAAAAGCATTAATACACCATTATTTCCATTTCCAATCATTGAAAAACTGTGAATGTTTTTTTTTGTGCACAAGAGAAAATGAAATAGTATTAATCAGATGAATTCATTGGTACATTTTATGAGATATGGTGGAGTCGCATCTTATGTGAGGGTTACTTTCTAAACAAAAAATTTCATATAATTAGAATTACCCTTGAAAATCCCTACATCTTAAAATACACGCTTTTTTCTACATCCTGTAGTGTGTATATATATAATAAAGAATACATATAGAAGTAAAATGTATAATAATTTTATTTTAATTACATAAAAACAGAGAGAGAGAGAAAAAGAGGAGATTGACAGAATATAAAAGGAAAGCAGTAAACCTTAACACTCACAATTCTGGATATGTATTTGTGTGTGTGTGTGCGTGTATGTGTATGTACACAATTGTTTTTGTTTGGTTTAATTTGCATATGTATCTGGTGCAACTCAGCTGTACACCTAACGTTAAGTGCCAGAAATGTCCACCATTGTTTTCAACAAAAATTTGCTGTTGATTGCGTTATCTTGGAGGGGGCACGCGGTAGTGTAGTTGGTTGAGGCACTGTGCTACAAGTCTGAAGGTCATTGGATCAATTCTTGATGAGGTCATTGGTTTTTGCAATTGACTTAATCCTTCCAGCTGCAATATGGCCCTAGGGTTAACTCAGCCTCTAACAGAAATGAGTACCAGGAATCTTCCTGCGGGTGTAAAAGGCGGCTGTCGTGAAAGGCTGACAACCTCACCACCATCTATGAGCTGATTGTCTAGAAAATGTGGGAGTCTCCATAGCTCACAACGCTATGGGCCTCCACAGCCTGTTACACTGATAGCTTTACTTTTTTTTTTTGCATTATTTCGTAGCATTCATAATTCAACACAAGTGTTCCACTCTTGCCTGTCTGTACTTTGGTTTTGTAGACCACCTCTTTCTTAAGACTCCATAAAATGTAATTTGGTGGGGTTAGGTGCAGAGATCTCAGCTGCCAAGTTATTTGACCAGGTCAACCAGTCCACGGACTCCCATGATGTTGATTCAAATGACATGTAAGTTGATGACCAGAATGTGGTGGAACCTCATCATGCTTCAGGGGCATCCTGAGCCTCATCTCCAGAGTCATGCCCTGTCTTTAAGTTGCACTTTGTTTGTCTGAAAGTGCATGTGTTTGCAGTAGTCACAGTTCAAAATAAAAGCTGCAATCAACATTTCAGCCAAAACCATCACCATAGTTGCCATGTATTGAATTTAACACAAGTTAACTGAAACTGTCACCAGTGTTACCATCTATAAAATTTCACAGATGTTAACTGACATTAGTTGCTAGTGTTGTCATCTGTTGAATTTCATAGAAGTTGGCATTTATTTTTTCACATTGTAAGACTTCCATACCTCTTCAGTATTGAAAATAAGACCAGTGTTGTATTGTATATTTTATTCTGCAACTTACTGTCAGTTTTGTATGTATGTATGTGTGTGTGTGTGCACGTGTGCAAATGCGCATGCATGCAAGATGGCAGTTAATTCTAAATAAGAAGTGGGTATAATATAAATTTTATTTTTTACTGCAATTCTTACCATTTTACTTTGCAGTCAGTAGCAGAGTTTCTGAAGGGGCTACCATCCTATAATGAGAATAACTTTGCACGGTTTCATACAGACAGTGGAAGCCGGACCTGTGTCAAACGTCCATCTGTATACCTCCCAACAAAGGAATACCCATCAGAACAAAGTTTGTAACCTTTATAAATTCAAATGTTACAGTGTTATTTTTGGAGAAGTGTATTTTACAGTGTAGAGTATGCGATAGCTCTGTTGGTTGAGGCACTGTGCTACAAGCCGGAAGGCCGCAGGTTAGATTCCCGATGAGATCATTGGATTTTTCAATTGAGCTAACCCTTCTAACCACACTGTGGCCCTTGTGTTGACTCGGCATCTAACAGAAAAGAATACCAGGAATCTTCCTGGGGTAAATGGCGGCTGGCGTGGAAGGCTGACAGCCTCACTGCCATTTGTGAGCCGATTGTCTAGAAAATGTGGGAGCCTCAATGTCTCACAACCCTAGGGGCCTCCTTGGCTTGTTACAGCGATAGCTTTTTTTTTTCTGTGGCGCTACAGCCCCAATTTGGGCCTAGGCCTACCTCCATGAAACTCTCTGTTTCACTTCGGTTTACTAGATCTTACACATTCGGTAGGACTCCTTGGGCGAGTGATCAGCTCGTCGCAAGGCCACTACCTGTAGACAGACACAGAAAAACGCACACAAACATCCATGCCCTGAGTGGGATTCGAACCCACGATCCCGGCTTCCGAGCGAGCGAAGACAGTGCATGCCTTAGACCGCTCGGCTACCGCAGGGATAGCTTTACCTTTTTTATTTTACAATGTATTTATTGTGCTGTTTAATAAGTCATACCAATAACCCTGTTTTGAAGTGCAATGTAGCACATTCTAATTACAGAGTTATTGATTGTTTATGAAAGAGACAAGTGACTACATTGGATGTGTGTATACTGGGTCTTTTTGAACAGATGTTCTAGAGTAAATTGCATTTATTTACCAGAATGGATGGCAAACTTCACTGTGTTGTGTGCAAAAGAGGACAGCAGTCTTGGAAGAGTTAAAGTTGTGTGGACACATTTCCCACATGTGCACTGTGAGCACCCAAATTATCCATATCATTTTTGGAAATTTTGCATCACTTCAGTCAGGATGAGTTTATTGATGCTGATCACAGCTTTCTTGCTTCACTTATTGAATTGTTTGCATTGTTCATATAAACATAATCCTCGAGAAAAACCCATATTGAGAAAATACATGATTTGTGATATTCAAAATATGGTAGTCAGGATTAGCTGTAACCAAAATATACAAAAAATTAATTAAAAATGACTGGTTATTGAAAATGTATATTGAGAACATCCAACATTATATGAGATATGACGTTCTCACGACAGTGAATATCAAGATTACACAAATAATACAGATGCAGGTAAATACAAAATGATAAGACGCATCGCAACAGTCCTACCCAATGGCTTGCGATGCGGGCAGGCTTACTTTACCAGCCAGCCAGATACCAAACCAAATTTTTAAGTAACCCAGCCAAAACAGAATTTCCAACAACAATCCCTGCTAGCTGGTAATCATCTTCTCCGGTCAATGTTGTCCGACAGACTTCACAGTAAGTCTCTCCTCGTTCCGAGACTAAACTTCATGCAGAATAGGCATAAGGACTTTAAATGTAAACCTCATTCTTAAATCTTTATAACAACAAGCTGACATTTCAGGTACACTGTCGAATATGTCTCTGTCCCCTGCTGTTATGAATTTTAAAGGTCTAATAAGTTTCACAATAAATAACCAGTTGTTGCTTGAAATTAATATATTTGCAGTATAATAATGATGATATTTTTTTTTGATTAGCTTATTGTAATTAGAATTATGCCAAGCTTCAGTTATGTGAAGATATGTCTCTTTTTTTTCAGTTATAGTAACAGAGAAGACTAACATTCTCCTCAGATATCTCCACCAACAGTGGGATAAAAAGGTCAGTTGTTGTGTTGAAAAGATTTAGCAGAATATTTTTGTTTGGTTTCTCTAATATCAGATCTTCTGCTTGCTGAAGTATTAGTAAATATACCCTTACAGTTTGATTAGTTTTAATTTGAGTTATTCATTTTATAGATTCTTTTCCATTTGACATGACAGTGTGAGAAACCTTTGAAAGTTCATTGACTTATTAATAGCAGTCCTGTGGAGCAGGTGTTAGCTGTAGTACTTTTCTGCATGCTCAGCATCCTCAGTTTTTGTGTTTTGTTATATTAGCATAATGGAGTTTCTGAGGCATAAGTAACACTGTTGTTGTAGTTTTAAGTTATATGATTGAGGGGTCAGCTCTGCTCTTAATCTGTCAGTGAGAAAATTAAATGAAAAATAGACTGGAGTGGAAGAAAGATCAGGGTCATTTGTGTGCAAAGGTAGCACAGTGGAAATTGTAGTTTTGACAGAGAATTCTGTATGTACTCCATCTCATGAATCAAGTGCAGCTCTGAATTTCCTTGTGTTTTGATTGTACATGTATACTGTATATAAATGAGAAAGTTTATGACTGTGTGTATGTTACATCATGTCATAGTTTTCACATACACATGTGGCAGCTGTTTGAAAAAGTACAATTTGAAGGATAAAAATGTAACTCAGTTCACTGTTTTAATGCAGACAGAAGGCTGCGCCATAGTTCAAGCGGATAGTCGGTAGCTTCCCACCGTGGCAGCCCGGGTTTGATCCCGGGTCTATTTAAGTGGGATTTATGGTGGACAAAGTGGTACTGGGGAGGGTTTTCTCCAAATACTTCGGTTTCCCCTGCCAATCTTCATTCCACCAAATTCTCCATTGTCATAATCACCTGGGGCAGGCTAAAGTAGGCCAATCAGTGGCCGCCGTGCCGAGTGGACCCAGTTGGACTCCAGCCCCCACTAAGTGAATTTAAAAATAATAATTTTTAATGCAGACAGGGATGACAGATAAAGGGAAGGAAAATGGGGTGAAGGATGACTCCTTGTTGAGTTTTAGTAGGTGTTTTCCTTTAGCTTGTGTATATTAAATCAATTACAGTTTTTAGTCTCTTTTCCTTATTTTTTAAAAATAGAAGTAGGTTAATAAGATCACCTTCTTGTGTGTGCGTGCGTGTCCCCTGACATCTTTCGAGTGCCTGAACTGATCTTTATGAAACTTGGTATTTATGTCATGGCACCAGAGGCTATCTGAACATCATCCTTCATAGATTTCTCCTATCAGCAGCACCAACACTGCAGCCTCTCATGTTGTTGCGGCAGTAACCTAAACATTTGAATGTGTGAACCTGTCATCATGAAACCTGGTAGGGAAACTATGCCATATGAGGCACTTTTAACAGTGTGTGAAAAAAGTACCTCCCTTTGGTAATACCAAGATAATTACTGCTCGGATTCTTGATGTGGAAGCCATAAGCTTTTTTAGGATATTTCTGTAGGATTTTATGGTTTGATATTTAAATATTGGCTATGGTGACATCGTTACCACTTAAAATTGTATTGTTGCATGCACAATTTAGGGTTTGTAAAAATCAGGTGTATGCTTCATTATACATTCTGTGGAGTTGAAATACACTATGTACTTGGTCTGTACACATTTGTGTTGTTGAAGTATTCAGTTTCTAAGCTGTTAACAGTCACCAGTTGGCGAGGTAATGATAATGTGAGATAATGTTTCAGAATTCCCAAAAGAAGAGAGATCACATGAATCTGGAGACACCCGAGGAGTCAGGCTCAAGGAAAAGGCCGCGTCTGGACAGTACTGCTGCTAGCAGTTCTCCGTAATCGTTATAAGTGTACCTTGCGTGTTTCATATTGTCTGCTGGCACTTTCCATCTTCTTGTGCCACCAGCTCTTTGTGTAAATACTGAAATATAGGACCTGGCAACAGTCATAATATTATTTTTATGAGTGTTTTTCAAGATGTTTCAATTTCCCTTATTTGATCAGATCTGTTTTAATCTTACAAAATTAGATCTTAAAAAATTTTCATATGTGTTGTCACAAGAAACCGCGTTGTAAGAAGCATCTGCCTCTAGATGCCATTTTATTTGCTCTAACAACTTATTGTCTTTATATTCCAGCAACCATTGCTACATCCCATGTAGCTTGTTTGTCAGTTGTCAGGAAGAATTATGCTACTTTGTACAGTCTGAATTATTTTATATATATATATATTTCTGTTATTTTAAGTTTGCTCATTGCTAGCATATTGTATGAATCTGAAGCGAAAATGGACCTGAGTAATTAAAAGGTATATTCCTGTGACAGGAATTGATTATTTTGTGAAAATATTCTGACATAGAATCAAAGAAAATCAAACTACAATGATCTGTTTCCTTGTTGTGATTCCCGTAGGGCACAATGGAAGTTTTCTGTCGAAGTATTGCCTAGACATTGGCTCTCTTTAGCTTTGTTTGTAAGCCAATGTATAGACATTATGATCCCACCCCCATGATTAGAAACATTTTGAATGTATCCGTAACCAATCACCAGTCAGTTTCCTGGAAGTTGTAACATTGAAATTTAAGATGTGCTGATACTGAATGAAGCAAGGTGCTCCATTCTTTATGAAAATGAATGACGTGTAATAAAACGAAATAGTAGTTTTATTTTATTCCTGTTTTTTTAATTCCAAAAATTTAATTTTAATTCCTAGGGTTTAGCTTGTACAGAATTGTTATGGTCTACGGAATTATGGATTTGTCATTATTGTAGCATTGCAGCATACTGTGGAAACGGTAACTCATTGCAAGAATTGTTGTATGCATATGCATTGTTGTATTTGCTGAGTCACAGATCGTTGCATTGCTTGTTTATTAGCTTTTATTTTTCAGGAGTAAGGATTCTAAATCTCCAGTCAGCCATATTTCAGGTTTGGGCTCATGGTTTTATCATTCAGGAATAGGGGCTTTCTGGTTCTATTGGAAAAGCTGGGATTGTGGACTCTGTGCAGCAACTGGCTATAGACTGGTTGGCAGTGGGGTCAGAGTTCGAGTCCCACTATGGTCGACATTTTTCGCTCCTCTATGTCATCTGCACCAGTTCTGGGGCCCACCCAGCCTCCTATCAAGTTGGTACTGGGGGCTAAAGTGGTTCCAACTAGTGCTGAGGTCAATAATACTTGGATCTGTACATCCACTTCCCCATACACCTGCATGACATAGTGCTTAATTAGTTAAGCACAGGGACAGCTTCGCCTTTACCTCGTTCCATAGGGCTGGAAGCCAAAATAAGGTTAGGGGGTGGGAGTATTAATATTGAAAAATGCAATACTCAGCCTGTAAGGTCATTTGCATATGCTATCATAGTAGTGCACCACACAGCCAGGAAAGATTAAGTAGTATTGTAGAATTGGATTATTCAGTCGTTTGCATATTATTTTACTTGTAACTTCAGATGGATGAGTAGTTAGTTAGTTAGTTATTGGAGAGGGTGGGTTTCCCCATGCACTTAGACCAGTATTGGTTAATGTGCTTCCCTCTATGATATTCTAGCAGTCTCTATACCCTACTGATACTGGTGCTTACCATCAGTCCCGACCAAGACAGCGAGTTCGGCCTCTACTGGCTTAGCGGTATCTATAATGCTTGCCCCATCTATCAGAGGCGTTAAAGACTACTGTTGGGTGGGAAATGTCCTTGAATTTAGCTAAGTGACCTCCTTAGGAGATATGAGGTTCTTTTACATGCCGTAAAGCTACGACATGGGACCCACGGCTTAAAGTCCCTCCCGGAGGACTTGTTCCCCGATTTTTTCCGCCCTTAGAAATTCCATGACCTCCGCCAGGTTTGAACCTGCGTACTAGATGGATGAGTATCATGACTGTGAATTATTTGGAGAGATGTGGAAGGTACTATCTGGAGAAAATGAGAGAAACTGGTAATCTCGTATAAGGATGGCCTTCCCACCTTTGAATGTGAGTTGGATGTAATATTGCTCCATGTTACAAATTTTGGCAGAGAAGACCATCCAGATAGGTAGCTTGCCCAGCTGCAGGTCACAGCTTTGTGAGTACTCAGCAGCAGCAGCATATTGAAGAAAATGTGTGGTATGGTTATGAATTTGAACTCTCATCTTCGAAACCAGCAAGAATAACATTATAGTAACCACTGATTCAGACCTACAACCTGGGTAGGCGAATTATTAGACAGTAAAATGTGAAAGTTGTGTTTGTGTGTGGAGGGAGTTGGTTGGCAGTTTTTTTTTTTTTTTTTTTTTTTTTTTTNTATTTAATCTCAAGTTTTAGTATCAAGATTGTTTAGTATCGGATGGGAGGATGACAGAGGAACAGTGAAATGGAAAAGATTTGCAAGAAAGCAGTTGTGGCATAATTGGGCACTGCCCTAGAAGTTGCCTGGAAAGGCTGACGAAAATCACAAAAACCTCAAGTTAGGATAGCTGGTGTCCTGGCTGAGATTACAACTGAGCACCTTCTGAATACAAATCTAGAGCATTACCTGTAGATCAGGCTTTTTGGTGTGTTGCAATATATTTCGTTGCATTAGTACTTTATATTAAGCTTTTACCCCCACATTGTTCAAGCAGTGACCCGTGCTTCAGGCCATGTTTGTGTTTACAGATGTTGATGTCAGTATTTCAGGTTTTACACATATGAAAACACACTTCTGCCTTTGTTTTCTTCATTCATATTCTTTCAGTTGGTGCAGAAGTTCTCTGTTCAATAAAACAGGAGCGTTTTATATGCTAGTGTTAATTAAAAAAAAATGGAACCTGAAACGAATGTTATACTTTGTTGGCCCAGATGTTTTGATGGGAATGTAGGTTTTGGAGTTCCTAGTATGCATATTTATTTCTATTTTCATTTTGTATCTCTAGGCCATACTTTATATTGTCACGTGTATTAGTGACTATAGATGGGATTTGGATTGGTGAATAGATTTACTGATCACTTACAGGGTGTAAAGAAAAGTAACTTGAATTGAATTGAATTTATTTACATTCTATTAATCCTAAGCAGGTTAGTACCTTTGGATACAGAACAAGTCAAAAGGTTACATACATAAGTACAGGCAATTTTAGCTTAAAAATTAATATAACTTAATTTTACATCATTCTCTATTTACATTGAAGTATTCATCTAAAGAGTAGAAGGAATGAGCATGCAGATAATTCTTTAACTCTGATTTAAACTTTTTAGTATCATTGCCCAAGTTTTTAATACTTTGTGACAGATTGTTGAACACTTCTGTGCCAGTAAAGTAGACTCCTTTTTGATATACTGGTAAAGTTGATGAGGGTAGGTGGAAGTTATATTTTTGTCTAGTATTCATGTTATAGACATCAGAATTTAATTTGAATTTATCTTTGTTGTAAACAACAAATAAGAGAAGCGATAATATGTATTGCGATTGAAGAGGTAGAATTTTTAATTTCTTAAATAATTCTCTACATGAATCTCTACTTCTACATCCTGTAATGATTCTAATTATATTCTTTTGTATTTTAAAAATTATTACACTATGTGAAGAGTTCCCCCAAAATATTAATCCATAGTTCATAATAGAATGAAAGTAGGCATGGTAAACCATCTTCAATGTTTCCTGTGACATAAAAGGCTTAATTGATCTCATCGCATAGCAAGCTGCATTTAATTTAGGTATAATTTGTTCAATATGTATTTTCCAAGACAGTGTACTGTCTACATGTATTCCAAGGAATTTTGTATCAAGTACTTTACAGATTAATTTGTTGGCATAACTGATGTCCAGATCAATTTGGTGGTTGTTTTTAGTTGTGAATGATATGTAATGGGTTTTATCAAAATTTAATGAGAGTAAATTGGCTTCGAACCATCTGTTTAAGGCTTCAAATACAATATTTATGTCATTTTTAAAGCTTTCAAATTTGGAGTTCTTAAATATTATACTAGTGTCATCTGCATATAGAATTGGTTTAGATTTATTGTTGATTTATGTACAGAAGAAAAAGTAAGGGACCTAAAATTGATCCTTGTGGAACACCGTGCTTTATAATTCCCCAGTTTGAAAATGCATTATGACTGGAGTTTTTATTATTTATTTCAACTCTTTGATACCTGTTTTTGAGGTATGATTTGATCCATTCATTAGCTTTGCCAGTTATTCCATAGAAATTTAATTTCAATAGTATAACACTATTGCTGATTTCCACACTACAAATCACTCAACGCTAAGTCTTCTCAGTCTGCTTTCACTAGTTGTTACTTGTAACAGCTCTCAACAATAGCCATTCCTCTGCAGTGTTTTCAGTAGACGTTTCCTGGTAATGGATCTTAACAATGGTGATTCTTCAGCTTCTGTGCTCATGTCGTTATTGTCCGGCGAATATCCCGCAACTGTTCTGTAGTCAAAATCAGAGTTACTCTACTACTGGCGCTTTACTGTCAGTCAGTTTGTGCTGGCGTCAACCCCTTGAGACCCACGACCACAGATGTATTTTTTTAACTGAGCCCTTGCGGTAATAGTCCATATGTAACATCCTCTCTGACGAGAAGATGAGTTTGTTTCTTATGAATATGCTCGCCCTTTCGTCAAGCGTGTGTATCGCACTTACAGCATGCTATTGAAAATTCTTTTTGCAGTATATACAAGTCCAGTCCAGGCTTTGCCAAGCAGATCATGCCTATCATACTTATCTTATGCTGCAATGGCAGCTTAGTCACTTGAATGGTCGTAAGCTTGACCACCTCCAATTTTAAGTCTTTTATTTTCTATGGCTGATTTTGCCTTGTCCTATACCGTGAGCATGTTCATTCTCATGATTTTATATGACTTATGCTTGTTGCTTGTACAATTTTGTTATACAGTCGTATACATATGGAACGTTGAAAGCCATGTACAAATTGCGGATCTGTGTGCATCTTGGAAAATTTCCGGTGGTGCGGAGAACCTTGTTTTGCATGCACTACAATTTTAAGAGGTGGATGTCTGCCGCGAATTTCAATGTGAGGCAACCATAAGTCATTACTGATCTGATCAGTGTCTTATGGAGGGTTAATTTAATGCTGGTGCTTAAACATTCATTTTTGAATAAGGAGTAGATTCTAATAAATATTCTGAAGGCCTTGGCTTCAATCATTTCTATGTGCAATCTCCATATAATCTTATCAAAGATTACACCTAGATATTTTTCGTGATTGACAAAGGGGATATTCCGTCCATTCAGTGTAACTTTTACTCTTCTCCAAGTATAATTAGAATGATCAAGTCAAGGAGGATGTGGTGGGCAGGGCATGTAGTACGAATGGGGGAGACGAATGCATATAGGATATTGGTGGGAAAGCCAGATGGAAAGAGACCACTGGGAAGACCAAGGTGTAGGTGGATGGACAATATTAAAATGGATCTTAGAGAGATAGGATGTGATGGGATGGATTTGGTTGATCTGGCTCAGGATAGGGACCAGTGGAGGGCTCTTGTGAACACGGTAATAAACCTTCGGGTTCCATAAAATGCTAGGAAATTCTTGAGTAGCTGCAGAATTGGCGGTTCTTCCAGAAGGGCTAAGCTCCATGAGTAAGTAAGTAAGTAAGTAAATCCTTATTTCACATTCTCTCGTCACATAGGATGGGTCTGTAGTTTACAATTGCTGCTGGCCCTCACCAGCGCAGTCATT